GTACTCCATCCTAGCCCTGACATATGCATCAAAGGAGATCAATTACTGAATATGCCAGTACTTTCTGAACAAGGACAAGACTATTTTTAACCTGATTTAATGTTTATGAAAAGATTAGCCATTCAAAATGAAGAAACCCTATCCACCTAAAAGTGCAGGAAACTTATACACGGTTTTCAGAGTAAGCAGTTCAGCAGGGAGAGTAAGAGGTGGTCTATAGGAAATAAAAGACTTTTTTGAAGTTTTTAGGCTACATTGTCAACTGGATAGCTCTGCTAATATTCAAAGTGCCTTGATGCAAACCTGCTCTGATCTCAATGATCTATAGAATGACACAGTTGCTCAAACAAAGCACTGAGCTCACTTGGCTGTATTTCTGGATTGGCTCTGGTCCAGATTCAGCTTACTGAGCATAAGTAAAGGAGCTTGTGTTCTTTTGCTTTGCTTAGAAGCATGCACAAAGACAGAAAGTTTTTGCATAGGCAAGTATTACTTAAATTAACCTAGCCAAAGGACTATATTGTAGGTCTTGAAAGGCATCTAACCTTTTATAGTGCTCACAGTGTGCTGTGCGCTTCATCTTCCCTAGAACAACACCCAGACTACCCAAGGCAGATGATGTAAGCTATTAATACGCTGTCCTAAATACAAAGCACTGGAGCTAGGAATTCCCTAGCTCTCACCTCTGCTCAGCTGCAGACCCTTCTTGTATCCTTAAACTTTTATCAACAGTAAGTCAAGGTTCTTCACCCCATCAGTTACCTGTAGAAGTCAGGATGACATCCCTTGCGCAATATGTGTGTAAGATATGCAAGTATTTTAATAACACGCATGGAAATACTTTGAAGATGAAAAGCATTATGAGTACCAAGCCATGCAATTAATACTAACAGCGACTACACTTTTCCCAGTGCATAGCAGATGAATAGTACAAAGCAGGAATGAGCAGGATGAGTGTGCTTGTCTTCTCAATACAAATGTTTACTGAAGTGTTTCCTCTGTAATAGTTCTAAAATAATTATGTGATCTCCTGAATTACATCTCTAGTGCCACTCACCAGTTATCAAGAGATAAGAATCCTCCAAAGCCTCCCTAAATCTGTGTTAATCAGCCCATATTGCATCATATCTTTTCTAACAAATTGTTATAAATAAGTATCAGGAGAAACATTATTTAAAACTTGTATATTATACCTTAAAACAATAGCTACACAAGTTGCATTCAACTCTGAAATGCATTTAGGAATAACAGCGTGAAAAAGAAATCAATAAACTGAGATGAAGAATGTGAAGAAAATATATTCTGAATAATTAGAATGGAAAAGAAGTATGAAAGACATATAAAAGGCTGTGCGCAATGGAGGAGGTTCTCAGGTTTGTAAAGGCAAAATAACACCGAAGGGCAAGAAGCAAGTGAAACAGCAAGATTTTGCAGTGAGACTCTGAGCTAGCTCCCCAGACGAGCCAAATTTTAGCAGCAGGTTAGAACTGACAAGGAAACATAGTTAGGCAGAGCTCACAAACAATCTGAATTCGGGCTGCCTTGAAACCGCATCCTCAGCGCGCTAACTCACCTGAGGGGTCCACCTATGACTCAGTTTCTTTAGCCTAAGTGCAAAGCAACCCGGTGGAGCAGCCGCCGGAGGGCGGCAGGACCTGCCCTGCCCGGTGCCTGCAGACCGGGGCCGAGCGGGCGCTGCGGAGCACGACACGCGGCCGGCGCCTCCTCAGCACCTCAAGCAGCGGCGGGACCGACGGCGCCGTGACTGTCACACCACCGGCCTGCGCCCCACCTCAGCAAGGCGGGCTCGTCCCGAAACCCTAAGGCACATCAGCCGTCTCCCCCGCTGCCGAGGCCGGAGGGGGCACACGGCCCCGAGCTAGCCGGGCCGCAGAGGGCAGGACGAACAAGGGCCCCCCCTCACCCGTCCCCACACGCGCATGATGCAACACAGCAACCCCACGAAGGGACAGCACGCCGCCACAGCACCACCCAGCACAGCGGGAGGAGCGGGGTGCGCCCGGCACTCACCGAGCGGAGGGCTGCTCGCGTTGACGGTGAGGCTCAGCGTCGCCATCCCGCCGACACGACGCCGGAACCACGGCAGAGGCTGAGGCGGGACGCGCGGCCGCGCCAGCAAGACAAGCGCCGGCTCGGCTGGTCCCGCCCGCAGCCGAGGGGCGGGGCCGCGCGGAGCCACTTCCGGTGGCGGGGTGTGAGGCGGAGAGGGTTTGATCTGGGCCTCTGTAATAGTGGGGTCAGTCCGAAGGAGATGGGGAGGCTGGAGTTGAGTGGGAAGCCTGGGTGTTGTGTGGAGGCTGCCTCATCTCTCGCCTTGTTGTAGGCCTCTGTAGGGTTGGGTGCCGGCGATTCGCTCAGGCAAAGGCTTCCCTAGAGCTTTGCAGGAGCTCACCGTAAACCTGAGGTAGATGTGTGGCGGTGGCTGTAGGGAGAGCTTCCGTCGTTTTTCTGTCGGTAATGACACAAGTAGATCAAGCGGCGCACGTATACCGACACATGTGGTGCGGTGGTTTAGCAGTCTGTTTAGTTAAGACTGTTACTTGCTATGCTCCTCGTAAACGTGGATTTTGCGGTGTGGCCCAAGCTAGTCTTGGAATGAATTGCTGAAGTGCTGTGTCAGCAATTTTTCTCTTCACAGGACGCAGACTCAAGTTCACATTGTTGCAAGGACAATGCAGTGTTCCCCCCCCGCCCCCGTCTAATTTATAGATGGTATTACAGCACCTCATGTGCTGCTAGAGACATTATCAAATGCTTGATTGGTGAACTGGTGCTGTTTTGTGCAGTGGGTGTAGTGGTATAGCCAGAGCATGACTGTGTCTTATGTGCTGGCTTTTATCCCAACTTCCCTCAGTGCTTGCTTGTGTTAGCAGTTTTACACTTTGTGTAAGTATGGAAAGCGGTTCCATACATAAGCATTTTTATACATCAGGTAGAAGCTGGTGTATGCTTTGTGTGTTTTACTCCCACTAAGGTAACTGTAAAGGAGCAGAGCAATAAATCACAGCAGAATTAGAGAGAAGCTTATACAAAGGAAATTTTCAAGCATATAGCAAGTTTCAGATGAAAATAAGGATAAAGAAACAGATGAAATTGCTAACAGTGAGTTCTGCGATTTGTATTTTAATGTTCTATGGAAAGGTTTATTAAGCAGGCTTTGAGTTGTCTTAAGTTTTTCTATGTTTTGTGTTAATGTGCTTTACAAATTCACATGCAGATTTTTATATGAATACTAAAGCATGCACATCCAAAAGTCCTGCAGAAGGTAGGGGTAAGAATTATATATAACTGAGGCAGTGAAATGATGTTAATTTTGTATGTGGAATGATTAAACTTATAATGGGGCAAAATGTGAAGGCTCTAATTAAAGCAGGCTGAATTTCTGTTGCATGTTCTTACTAGTCATGAGCTTGAGAAAGGAGAAGAAAGGTGAAACTGTAGACGAAAGGATTACATGCATGTGTTGTTTCTATATATATGCAGCTTTAATACAGTGTCATTATAGCATTATGGACTGGCTGATAATAGAATGCAGTAAGTGGTAATCTTGCTAACTGATCTGTAAACATTATGATAAGCTGACCTCACTAAGGAAAGTGCTTCCTTAGATCCTTTTCCATGCATGAACATGGGGAGACAGAGAATGCTCTAGCAAGAGATGCTTGCTGGAAATAAAGCCAGGTTTAAGCCACTGAAGTCACACTGGTGTTAACCTACTGTGAGGAAAGGATGTAATCTAAGGACTCTAAGTAAACTGGAGTTTACTAAAATACCATGTGTGATGAAAGGAGAAAGAAGCAACTTGTACTCACTGAAGGATTTGGGTCACAAAATGTGAAGAAAACAAAGTACGCAGGGGCTCCACTGGTTCAAAATACTCCAGAGTCCTAAATTCAGCTTGAGGAGACATCATCTGTTTTGGCCAAGGTTGCCACTGTTAGTTAGTCATATGTAATTTACTACTTACTCTCTTTTGTGTTCACGCAGACTGAACAGTTGAATCCTGCTTTCCTAACTCCCATACCTATGGGAAAGCTGACTGAAACAGGCTCTCCAATTTGTAAGTTCATTTTAGGTGATCTTGTCATCTGGTCTCTCTCCTTCCCTAATGTGCTGACATTCCACAGGACAAAGACGTGGTAGTGTCGGGTTCCTCAGCTCTTGGGGCTGTTGGAAAGGCACCTGCATATAAAAAATCTTGAGTTCTGGCATTTAAGTTGTCCCTGTGTATGACAAAGCGACCTAGGATGCTCTCCAAGACTGAGATGACACAGACCCCAAGAGAGGCATTCCAAATCATCAGAGAGGTGCTGGGAACTCCTCTCCCCATTGCAGTTTCCTTGGGTTCTCCTCAGTTGAGGTGTCCTGAACTCTGCTGTATTAATGCTTCACTGATCCCAAATGGATCCAGTGATCCAGGAACCTCTATTTGAGATGTTAAGAGGTCCAGCTGGACTGGTCTTGGCTTCTGCAAAACTGACACCCCAGCTCTCCACAAACAGCAATCTCTGCCATCCCAAAACCAAGTACAGATCAGAAAATTCAAAGATTCACTTCTAAGAATCAAAACTGTGAATTTTATAATAAATGGGCTAATCCATCCAGGCAGATTCTTAGTCCATTTGTACTTAATAAACTCTTGTTGACTACATACAACAAAAAACATTGAACAACATCAGGAAAATGACTTAACATGATTTTGTGCCCTGACTATTAAGATGATTTTTGGACTCTACTGTTATGATCAGCAGTATGTTAAACACAGTAATGAAGAACAAATACTGCCAAAGGATGGTTCAAGAAATGTGACTGTTTGATGTTTTCTGCTAAACACAGCAAAACAATCTGATCCAACATACACATATCGATTCTGTGTGCAATTTGAAATTATTGAACACCTTAATGTAAGAATGCAGTTCAAACTCTCTAAAACAGTATTTCAGGCTCAGTTATCATCTCGCTTTCTTCTCCAAGCTCGCTTTCTTCTCCAAGCTCGCTTTCTCAGCCTGCCAGGCCAAGTAAAGATGTTTTATTAATTCAAGGCACAAGGGATTGTTTAACAGTGTTGGGAATACGACTGGCATAATAGTCATAATTTCTCAAAGCAGCAAGGACCCCAGCAGAATTCATGTGTTTCACTTCCTTGTTATACTGAAATGAATTTCCATGGATATCAGTTATCTTGCCTGAAAAAAAAAAAAAGAAAAAAAAAATATAAAATCAGCAAACAAGAGTTGGAGAGAGAGAATCTACTTAATTAGTACAAGTGATACAACTAAAAAACCAGTCTTTGTTGTACACATGCCTGTCTTCAGATGTGAAATATCTTTGCTCCCAGTTTAAGTGCAACAGTTTTGTACTGACTGAAATCAAATAACTAATGGTTTTATTTTCTTTCAGTAACATTTACATTCCTTGTGTTTCAGGAAAACCTCTCTCTTATGGATTAACTAAAATGCTTCCTGAATAGTTTTTACATTTGCTATTGACAGGAAAGAAAGAAGTATCTTGTAATAAAGTAAAAGCCAGGGTAAGCCTATACAACAAACTAACATAATATAGAAATACCTTAGCTGGTTTTAAACAAGTTTCTAGAAATCACTTAGCAAGACCAACAGTGATCTTTATGCAAGCTAATTTAACCATGACATACCTAAGTAACAAGGAGGCTAAATACAGTCCTATGCTGCCCCAGATTAATTGGGGTTTTTGTGCCTGAGCTAACCTGTTTAAAGCTATCTCAATTATCAACACTAGAGACTGCAGATAATGTCATTACAAAGCCAGTTATCATTGCTTGACAATTTAGGAGATTAAACCCCATTTATCAGCATGAACAGCAGAAAAAAATATAATAATACTTATATTCAAGTTCTTGTCAGTGAGACTTTTCATAACTCCTCTAATCTCTTCCTCCCTAGAAAGGTGAAGTGGCTTATGTTGGCTGGACACCACTAATTTTACTGAATTACACAGAATCATAAAATGGTTTGGGTTGGAAAGTACCTTAAGATTGTCAGTTCCAACCTCCCTGCCATGGGCAGGGAAACCTCACACTAGACCATGATGCCCAAGGCCCTGCCCAACCTGGCACTGCTGGGGATAGAGCATTTACCACTTCCCTGGGCAGCCTGATCCAGTGCCTCAGCAACCTCACAGTAAAGAACTTCTTTCTTGCATCTTACCCAAATCTCCCCTGTTTAATTTTAAACCCACTACCCCTTGTCCTATGACTACAATCCCTGGTGAATGACTCAAAGGAACAACTGCATTGTTTGGCCTATTTTTGTTGTTTTAAAGAATTCTCTGTCCACGTATTACATAATATGTTACTAATGCTAGCCTACTACATGCACTTAGGACAGTGTGATTTTACTGTGAAATAGTAGCCAACAGAAAAAAGCCATTTATTTTGGCCTATCCCTTTGGAGCTACTGTTGATTTCAGAGGGCTTTTTTTTTTCCCTATGAAAAACGTAAGTAACTTTAAACTACATTTCACTTATCTTAGAATTTTGAATGATATTAACTTACCTCCCACAGCATGTAGAATAGCTTCCGGTGCACATGTATCCCATTTCTTGCACCCAGGACTTGCAAATACATAAGCAGATGCCTTGCCTTCTATAAGCTGAATGACCTGTTAGGAATAGAGAGTGGCAATCATTGCAAAGGATCTAGGCATTTAGAATTGGGTAAAACTAACACCAGCAAACAGGGATTAGATCAGTTTATTAATGTACTTAACTCTCAGAAAAGGAATATTAGCCATTTCCTTTCCAATATTACAAGAAATTATATTAAGATTTAGAAAGCTATAGTGTATTACCATTCTAAGTGATCTATTTTGGATTGTTATGAATACAGTCTAGTAGATGAAAATCTGATCTTAGTTTCAGAAGAGAGTCTGGTTTTGACAGCCATGACAAAAAAAAAGCTTTAAAAACTGTAGCAAATGGGTATTCCCTGCATGCAGAGAAGTTCTGCAAAGGAAATATCACTGAGTGCTTTTATGTTTATCCTTTCATATAAGCTGCTAGATAGTTGGAACCAAAACTGTATTAACATGAATGAGAGGAAATGTCTAATAGCTGTAATTAAACTGAATTCCCGTTTAGTCTTCATTACAACTTTTTATTTTCGCCCCTAGAAACAAAATACAGGGCAAGACGGACCTGAGCTATTACCAGCATGGCCACTGTTATCAATATACCTGGACCAAATTCTCTCTACCTCACAGCACACTGAATGCTAGGAAGAGAAGTTGTGCTGGGAAAGGAGGAGGAAATCTCCTGTACATTTATGCAAGTAAGTGATTTCTTTAAAAATTCTTTTTTTTTCCCAAAGGTACCACCTCCCAGTAATAAGAAAAGATTTATAGCTTTTATACCTTGTTTCCTGCTCCTCCAACTCTGATGACACTGTCTGGATTCAAAGCACTGATGCATTCGTTTACCAGGGCACTGCTGTGAGAACGGGTGGTAACAATGATGTGTTTCCCAGCAGGTGCTTCTGTGAGCTGAAATCCAAAGGCACCTATGCCTAGGACTCCCCAGATTGTCCGTCCTAGCACAGCGTCAGGTCCTGCCTACAGAAAAGGTACACAGGTCCAGGTGACGGTTAATCACAGTGATCAGCATTTAAAGCTCAAATGGAAGGAGTACTTAGAGATATCTGCATATCAGGGAGTGTAATACTAATACTAGGTTATACATTTAAACTACTCTAGAGCTCAGAGTAATTGGCTCTTAAGGCAAGGACATTGTTTACCCTTTTCTTATCTGTGACATTGTGGTGCATTACATTCTGCCTCCAATGACTGATGTTAATATTTGTATATTTCTGTACTTCAGGCACAATCTGTAACTGAAAATATCATGTCATTTTAAATGTTTTGTCATACATATTACACAGAACATATGGAATCAGCTGACGATATGTATTACATCAACTCAAGAGCTTTTCCTTTAAATTCTAATGAGTTTAATCAGGCTGTGCCATGTGCTTTTTTCCCCATCACACATAATACAGATATAATCTCAAAACATGTTTAAATGCTTGTAGGTTGGCCATCCTGGACTTATTCCTGTAACCTAGCATGATATACTCTAACCCAGCTGTCAGTGACAGGTACACTTGGTTTACTACAGGGCTGCAGATTTATGGCAGTTACCACATTTCACAAATGCACCTACTGCGTGGATTTACTAGAGAGTTTATAGCAAAGACTCCAAAACCACTGATCTGTACTTATTTTACAGCATGTACTCTGTATTTACTCTAGCAATATGTACAGCATATATTCAATATATCGTATATTACACAAGCCTCAGGATTCAGTATAGCTGTTAGTAGATCCCTGAGATTCAGTTCCTGCAAACCAACATTCAAAATTATATATATTTAATAAAAAACTACCACCTTGTAATCCAGCATTAAGTCCACTATGTGCTGCTTTTCAGTTGAAAGTGTGTTAATTAGAAAAGGCTTAGAAGAGACAGTCAGAAATCATCTAATGCTTTTAAACAAATCAATGCATTTAATACCTCATAGTTGTAATATGGCTGGTTAATAACTCCTGCTATTGCTTTGCCTCCATAAGCAATTCCAATAAGAACCGTTACGTGGTCAAGGAGACCTGTACAGAAATCACATGAATGTAGTTATGCTTCTAAAAGAGAGTATATATATTTAAAAAGAGCCCCTTCAACAGATGTCCTGATACGCAGAGTGGTATCTTAAAAATGCAAATACTAATCAGAATTTTCAGGTGCAATAGCTGGTTGATATAACTTTTTTAGTCATTTACCCTTGAGGTTTGCAAAAAAAAAAAAATGCCCCACATAGAATTCTTTTAATAGAACTATGTTATAATTAACACAAAATGAGGAAGAAATTTAAAGATACAGCTAAATGGAAGTATATGATAACATTCTTCTTTAATTGTGGTGTGGTTTCTTTAATGGTATTCAAAACTAACAATTTGTTGACAATTGTACATCTCTCTTCCTGAAAAGGGGAAAAAAATCTGCCTAAAAGATTTCACATTAATCAACTAAAAAATGCAGCAAGAAGTTTCAGCATATTGTTTCTGGAGGTTTTCTTTTGTTTTCTTCATTTTAGGGTCTATTTCTAAGGACACAAATTAGGCTTTGCTGAAAACAGTTTCAGAAGAATTATGATCTGAACGAGATATTTTATTTTGAAAGGGCTACAAATACAGCTCTGGTATTTGAGTTGTTTGAAGAGGAGGATTGAGGGCATTCCTGTGTGATTTAGCCCCTCAATTGAAAGTATATGTGAAATTGTAAGTTTGACTTAAAGCTGAAGGAAATCTGCCAGCAATCAAAGGCAGCCCTTTGCTCCCCGAAATGATAAAAACTGGTGGGCATTCAGTACTCCATCAGGAATATTCAATACTGAATGGAATGATGAAAAAATCCATAGAACTCACAGTAAAGAAACAACACCAGCCTTATGAAACAATATCATGTGTAACTCCTATCATATAACTATCTACATGTGCATGCTACTTTATTACATTCCTTTTTTGGTTTAAATCAACAGAATTAAAGGAGAGGCCAACCTTCAGTGTACTCCTTGGTTCCGTCCAAGGGATCAACCCATATTACAAGCTTTAAAAATACAAAAATAAGGACATTAACAAATACAAATGATGGAAGTTGTCATGCAAAGTATATATTTTACTTTAGCACTTTCATTTCCTTACAGGAGTAAATACAGAAAAAGTACACAAAAAAGCTTAAAAACTGACTAGAACTTCTCAGCAAATATCTTTATAGAGGTACGAAGGCTTAAACTTGACATGGAAATGACATTATTATGTCTGAAGTAGATAAATTAATTTGAATCACAAGTTGCAGGAAGCAAATGTCCATTTCCCACTATTGCACCTCAGGAATATGCAGCATTTCTGGCTGTGGAGGTGTGATTCTCATAATGACATTTCAGTTTTCCAACCAAAAAGAAAAGCTTGCAACACTTGAATAACCTTTTTCTTAACACATTCTTAGCTAAAATCAGTAAGTGATATAACATAGTGTAAAATATGAAGACATGTATAGCGTTACCACATTACCTCTTCCTCTTTAATTCCTGTGTACTGAGCAGGACAAGTTTTCTTCAGGATTTCTTCACAGTGACCATATTCAATTAGTTCCTCAGTTACCTCATCACCAGGCAGTTCCTAACAAAAGTATTCTTAGAATTATCGGAAAAAGATGTTAGGCTAACCTCAGTTTGCCTTAGAACTGTGGATTTACTTGTGGCTTGCTTGACAAAGCTAATGCAATGGAAAGGTGAAATGGAATACCAATATTTTTAATAGGTTATTTCTTAGCCAAACAGATTCTACCGCAAGTTACTGAACTTGCGGTATGAAATAAACTAGGTACTTACTTCTTCTCCTATGATTGTCACCTTGGGAAACTTCTGTGCCAGTGAAGCACAAATGCTCATTTGTACCAGTCGGTCAGCTTTAGTCTGCAAGTCATTGGCTCCTGTCTGTAAAAGGATGGATGGGAATTTGTATGTTTCAAAGCAACAGCAACAAAAAAACCCAGCTGTACAATGGCCCATATGTCATGCTGAATATCTACCTTATAATGAAAAGGAAGTCTAATTAGATAAATCATCAACCTAGTAAATGATCCTGAGAGAGGCAGGCTAAAAACTGAAACAGACAGTTTCCCTGCACACCCCAAAGCTAAAACAGACTGCTGTGATATCAGAACAATATTTAGATGCTGTGTTCTTCTCATGCAATGGTACAGTTGCACTGATATGTATTTGTGCAAATACTGCACTATGTACAGAGTAAATTAATATAGGTGTGATCACAGATACGAGGGAAAAGCAAAACCAACATGCTATCCAAAGCTTGTTTTTTGTTAAGAAAATCAGGACAAAACTGTGGTGTTTCTTTTAAGTGTCTGAACATTCTTTAGAAATACCTGTCAAAAGATACTTCTCCAGTGCTCTTTTAATCCTTTAATAAGGAATATTTCTTGTATTGGAGAGGTGAGGACTGTATTTCCTTCCTTATTTGATGATCTTCAAAAATACCGCTTTGACCTGTATCTAAATTAGCATTAGTAAGAGAAATTATATTAGAACAAAGTAAAAGTTATACCTTCTCCACTATGCCCAGATCTCCTGCAGCCATTACATTTCTAACAATTGTTGCAGCTTTTTCTGCAGCAGAATATGCAGAGGCGACCACACGCATGAGCAGAGCTGGAGAAGCCATGCTGAAAGCTGAAAGGAAACAAAAAGCAAACTTAGAATCATAGAATAGTTAGGGTTGGAAAGGATCATCTGGTTCCACCCCCCTGCCATGCACAGGGATGAGTCACACTAGACCATGTCACTCAAGGCTCTGTTCAACCTGGCCTTGAACACTGCCAAGGATGGAGCATTTACCACTTCTTGTGTGTTTCTCTCTTCAAGAGAAGACAATAAGGAAAATATTTTAGTTAATATTCCAAACAGACAGAGTTAGAGCTGAGTAGAAGGGGGTTTGTGGGTAACTTCCAGTGAGCAGTAATGAAGTGAGCTTTGACTTTTTGAAAAATACATTAAATATGTATAAAGCTACTTCAGACAAGTTTTCAAATACCTATGCTCTGATAGAGAATCTAGTTCTCACTAAAATAAAATCTGACATTAAACAAGAAAAGCAACAGAAATTCATAAATGTTAGAAAACGTGTAGTCTACTACTAGTCCATTGGTTGAAATGTAAAACAGGTTTTTGTAGATGGCCTAATTGTGGGCACAAATTAGGTTAATGATACACAGATATCGCAAACTTGTATGTGGAAGTCTGTTCATCTAAAGTTTACCATCCTTTCAGTATTTAACTTCTCTTGCTTTCTCTAAGAAAATCTATTGCATCTTCTCCTGTTCTGGTTCCTCAACATAAAAAAGACATGGAACTGTTGGAACAAGTCCAGAGGAGGGCCATGAGGATGATCAGGGGACTGGAGCATCTCCCATATGAAGACAGGCTGAGAAAGTTGGGGCTGTTCAGCCTGGAGAAGAGAAGGCTGTGTGGAGACCTCATAGCAGCCTTCCAGTATCTGAAGGGGGCCTATAGGGATGCTGGGGAGGGACTCTTCATTAGGGGCTGTAGTGATAGGACAAGGGGTAACAGGTTAAAACTTAAACAGGGAAAGTTTAGATTGGATATAAGGAGGAAGTTCTTTACTGTAAGGGTGGTGAGGCACTGGAATGGGTTGCCCAGGGAAGTTGTGAATGCTCCATCCCTGGCGGTGTTCAAGGTCAGGCTGGATAGAGCCTTAGGTGACATGGGTTAGTGTGAGGTGTCCCTGCCTATGGCAGGGGGGCTGGAACTAGATGATCTTAAGGTCCTTTCCAACCCTAACTATTCTATGATTTTTTCCCTCAGCACTGCATGTCCTGTAGTTCTTCCTACTGTAATCCTCTGCATCTGTTCCACAGCACACATCAGTGCAATTCACTGTGCCTTCAGTTCCCAAATAGAATAACTATCACTTGTGAAAGGCTGACAATCATCCATTCCTCCCAGCTTTTCTCTACCTCAGGAAAAAGAAGTATGGATCACCAGGCTGCAGTCTTTCAAATTCAGAGCTAGTTGCTTTTCCTGTCAATTCTTTCTGTCTGTGTAGATTACATGCTTTTTGGGTTTGGTTTACACATGCAATATACTTCCAATTTAATTCTTGAGCACAGAGCTAGAAGAATACAGAGGGATTCATTAATCATCACATAGAAGACTGTATTAGGCTTTCCTCACAACCAATATTTGCAGCAATTGCAGCAAGTATTGCATAAGTTGCACTAGTAGTTTATTAGACAATATCCTTCCTTTCTTGCTTGAGAAATCTCAAGTATAGTGTACTCAGTAAAGTATAATGTAAGGAGGTTATAAGGCTAGCTACTGTAGATGATAGTGACAGGACCTCAAGTTCATGTCTTTACAGTTTACAGCAAACAGCCATGTTAGAGGTACCAAAATCCCTAATTTAGCTGGTTTAAGAATTTTTCCAGCACTTTACAAACACTGTATGGGTATCTCTAAAGCCGGAAGATCTTTGAAGCTAAAAGAGTCACTGTGTAAGTACATTCAAAAAGCATAGCTGCTACTGGTTTTTATGACCTACTGCTCATGGATGGGAGCAAAGTTCTCTGGAGTCCTGCAGAGTAGCCAGGGTCTGTACCCAAAGTACTCTATCTTTGACTGGTAACAATGGTTACAAAGGAGATTTCTGAAATGCTACCCACAGCAAAAAGCAACTCTCAAACAATTGAAAATTGTAAAGCAAATATGTGTCATAACACACGGGGAGACGGGTACTATTTTAAGTATACACTATCATATGAAACAAGTTAAAGGGAAGGAAAGTTGAATGTAATTCATTCCATACTGAAAATATCTGGAATATTAGAACTTCTGAGAGAGAGTAAAAATTAGCATATTAGATGGGAAGTTTTGGTTAAAGAATTGAGCTCAGAAAAGGATAATTAAGATTTTGATGCTCAGCTTCTCATTTGACCTTTTATTATGCATTTGATCCTGCTTTGTAAAGTAAGGTTTAAACTTTATTATTTTAAAGGCTTGATTTATTTAATGATTTCATAAGTTAAAAAAAACTCTCAGAAAACAGTACAAAAATACTGTCTTATGTTCTTCAAGCTCAACCCAAGATGTTTCTTGGGCACGGTTTTCTTGGACATTCTTAAAGCAAACAAATATACTTTCTGTAGTGAACCTATACCTGAAATTTTTAAGCAAACCTTAACATTTAAATATTTTATGAAAAACAAGATTATGAGAAACTAAAATGGGAGGTTCAGCAACCCCTCCTCCCAAATATATAGTAACTAACTAACGAAGTGTGAAGTACGTTATTGCTGCAAAAGACAACTTAAATTTTTACAGGGCTGTACCTCCTATGTGGCACATTTTCCGGTGTGTTGGACCTTCTTGGTTAGGTAAGTTGTCCATAAGTTTCTCATCTCTAACTTTTTTATCTCAAATTATGTAGCCTATTTATAAGTTTATGGCTCTTTCTGATGAGGGCAATGTCTAATACTTACTTCCACAAGTTGGTGAAGGGCCTGGAGGACAAGTCTGATGAGGAGCAGCTGAGGGAACTGAGGGAGGGGTTAGCCTGGAGAAGGCTCAGGGGGGGCCTTATCCCTCTCTACAACTCCCTGAAAGGAGGATGGAGCTAGGAGGTGACTGCTCTCTTCTTCCAAGTAACATGTGACAGGGCTCAAGCTGTGCCAGGGGAGGTTTAGACTGGGTATAAGGAAAAATTTCTTCCCCAGAAAGGTGCTCAGGCATTGGAACAGGTTGCCCAGGGCAGTGGTGGAATCACCATCCTCAGAAGCGCTCAAAAACAGTGTAGATGAGGCCCTTAGTGACATGGTTTAGTGGTGGTTTTGTCAGTGCTGGGGTAATGGTCGGACTTGATGAGCTTAAAGGTCTTAATACCTGATTCTATGAACGCATCCAAGAATATATGGCTTGCTGTGGACAAACAAGCTTGACTCTTATAAGGCTGTACAGTTTACAAAGATTGCACAGCAGCTATCCTTCAAATCAAATTTGTCTATTATTTCAAAACCAAAACAATGTTCTGCAAACAGTTTTCTCTAATGAAAGGAGAAGGTGGATGTCTCAGAGCACTGGACAGCATGCAGAGCTTGCTTTTGCGTGAGCAGGCTGAGCCTGAGCTTCTTTCCCTGAACTCTTCAAAGCCCAGGTGATGAGAGCTCTCTATTCCTTTACCATAGACTTTGGCTCACGTTTCATAAAAGATAAACTTTTCACTCTGTGTAATGTGAAGAAATTATATTTACCCAGAAGCGGGCTAGGGCTCGGAGTGGGAATGCAACTTCTAGGGGAAAAGGGCAGTGCTGCCTCATTTCACCCAAGTGTTTAGAGGCCTTTTGAGTTTGTATTGAAAATAATCATTACTTTTTTAAAGCCTGTTCCTGATTCCCTTGTGATGGGGGCTCCCGGCGGTAACCCGCGGCAGGGCAGCGCACCGCACACCAGCCATGCTACCGAGCCGCGCTCTCAATGCATTTAGGCAAGCACTGCACAACGCTGCACAAGCGGCAGACCCAGCAAACTCACCGTCTCGGCCGTGCTACTCTCCGTCTCGGCAGCGTCCCCAGCACCCCTTCGCTCACCGGCAGCGTCCGGCGGCCCAGAGCCCGCCGGGAGCCCTTCTTGTGAGTCCTTTGCCCCGAGGGAACAGGAGTCCAGGCCGCGCCGCCGCCGCAGCAGCAGCCGAGACCTCTCACAGGCGCCGCCCGCTTCAGGCAGAGCTCGCTCCGATCGCGTCAGGGAGGCGTCTTTACAAACCAAGCCCGAAGCACCCCAGCTCTTCCCGGCTCCGCGGAGGGCTGACGCCTTCTCCAGTGCTCTCGCCCGCCCTCCGAGGCGTGGAGGAAAACGCGTTGCGCCGTGGCATGTCCTTTACCGCGGCCCGTCGTTGTTGTCGCCATCTCGTGCCGTAGCGCAGGCGGAAGTGTTCCCCCGCGCACGTCGTAGGAGCTACCGAGGATGTTCCGGGCCTGGCGGACGCCGCCTCTGGCGCGGGCCCGGGCCCAGGCCCGAGCGCGAATCGCCTGGGGATGGGCGCGCCCCGCCGCCTCCGAGAGCCGGCAGCCCGCGGCGGAGCAGGATTCCCCGTCCCGGGACACCGTGCTGTTGCCGCGCAGCCGCTTCCCCGGGCGGCTGCAGCCGGAGACAGAGCTGGAAACGCAGCAGGTAGCGGTGGGGCCGCGGCTGGGTCCCCCGGGGGAGGCATGCCCCGGCAGCAGCTCATGGAGGGGAGTAGGGAGGCTCGGCCCTGGGGAGGAGGGAAGGTGGCTGGCTGAGGTTACTGTACGGGCCCGGTTTTGCTGCCAGTAAGTTGTAGGTGTGGGCTGCCTCAGGTGAGATCCAGGCCATCTGCAGTCGGCTGTCAGAGTAAGTTGAAGGACTTCAGTTGTTTATGTGTAAGCACAAGTACAGGCTGGACGGAGACTGGATTGAGAGCAGAAGGACTTGGGGCGTTGGTTGATGAGAGCTCAACATGAGCCAGAAGTGTGTGCTTGTAGCCCAGAAATCAGTCGTGTGCTGGGCTGCATCACCGGCAGCATGAGCTGCAGGTCGAGGGAGGGGATTCCGCCCCCCTACTGTGCTGTGGGTAGATCGCCCCCTGCAGTCCTGGCCAGCTCTGGGCCGACAGCACAAGAGGGAGGTGGAGCTGTTGGAGCGAGTCCAGGGAAGGACAACAAAAATTAGCAGCACCTCTTCTATGAATACAGGTTATAAGAGTTGGGATTGTTCAGCTTGGAGTAAAGGCTCTGAGGAGACCTTAGAGCAGCTTCCAATACCTAAAGGAGGCCAACAAGAGAGATAGAGAGGGACATTTTACAAGGGCCTGTAATGGTATGGACAAGGGGGAATAGTTTTAACCTGACAGAGGGTAGATTTGGAGTAGACAAACAGAAGCTCTTCCCTGTGAGGGTGCTGAGGTGCTGGCAAAGGGTGCACAGAGAAGCTGTGGCTGCCCCATCCCTGGCAGCATCCAAGGCCAGGATAGGTAGGCCTTGGAGCAACCTGGTCTAGTGGAAGGTGTCCCTGCCCATCATAGGTGGCTGGAGCTGGATAAGTCTTAAGGTCTTTGCCAGCCCAAAACAGTCTATGATGTACAGGTGGGTACGCTCTGGTTTGCTACTGTTTTGTTTGGAGGAAGAGTAATGACCCTGTTGGTTGTGGAGAGCAAGAATAATAATGTTAGGCTTAGTGTTATGCCTGTCTTGAGCTTTTTAATACTTTTAAGCTAATAATGTCTTCTGCTACAGAGTTAGAAAAGTGAACTCTTCATGCTTGTTTGTTTGCTTTTATTACATGTTTTACGATCTAGCCAAAATTCAGGAAGTGATGATTTAGGTATTTTCTTATTGTCTCTACAGAAATGTGGTTTTTCAGAACTGTATTCATGGCAAAGGCAAAGGAAAACGAAGCAGGAATTCTGTCTGCATGATGGACCACCTTATGCCAATGGAGACCCTCATGTTGGCCACGCTTTAAATAAAGTAACTATTTATTTGTTCACACTGTACTGCTTTGAAGTGGTAAACATGTCTTATAATGTGCTGTGTGTTCTCCATTCCCATGGAAATGGGAATCAGTGGAATGTTAAATCAGTAACACTTTTAAGTCTTCAGTTTTCTTGTAGATGGAGCTTTTCAAAAGCAAATGATGTGGTTATGTAGATGCCATATGATGCCAAGGCGATACAGATACCATAAGAGAACATGTACCTATATTCCAAGTGTTCATTTATGAGGCTGGATATTTCAGTCAAAAGAGGACATCTCTTTAGAAACAGACCAGCCTGTAATTCATTCCTAATCAGTATTAAATGCACAGTTTGTGTATGGAACGTATAGCATGTAGACACATGGGTGAATGTATATTTCTATATGTGTGTATGTAATAATGTTACTGTAATGCATGGTTGAGCTGTGTCTTGCTATTCTTTTTTCCTCCGAGTACTTTGTAGATTTGTTCCATTGAATTTATCTTGCTATCCTCAGTGGAACCACAATAACTAAGTGTTGATGGCTTTTAAAATACAGATTTCACCTTTGAAATATTACTCCTAAATATGTTTGGATACATTTAGATTCAGTCCTGAGAGTATCTGTATTGCATACACTGCAAAGTGGGAAAGACTTAAAATGTGACCCACAGCTTATACTACTAGTGCTAAAACTCGGACTGCAGTAATATGCACTAGGCCAACCCTGTAAATGCAGCTCAGTGTTTCAAAAATGATGACAAGTAGGATTTGTTTGCTTCAGTTCTTGCAGGTTTTTAATCTGCATCTTTCACCAATACTGAATGTAAATTCCCTTCATCAGGGGTCCTCTGAGGTTCTGCCAAAATACAAAATGATGGGCAAGAAAAATCACAAATACATAGTCTTAAATGTAAATTTATACTGCACCATTGTAGTTTAACCCCAGCTGGCAGCTCAGCAGCATGATGCCAGTGGGATGGGAAGAGAATTGGAAAAAAGGTTAAAACTCATGGGTTGAGATAAGAAGAGATTAATAATTAAAATAGGGTGTAATATAATACTGATAACGAAAAGAGAAATAACAGAGAGAGAGGGAAAAAAACAACAAATAAGTGGTGCACAATACAACCGTTCAACACCAAGTCTGCCGTGAGTAGTGATCGGTGTCTCCTGGCCAACTCCTTACAGTTTATATACTGGGCATGATGTGCTGTGGTACCCTTTTGGCTAGTTTGGGTCAGGTGTCCTGTCTCTGCTTCCTCCTGGCTTCTTGTGCCCCTCCTCACTGACAGAGCATGAGAGACTGAAAAGTCCTTGATTGGGGTAAGCACTACTGAGCAACAGCTAAAACATCCATGTGTTGTCTGCGTTGTTCTCAGACAAAAGCCAAAACACAACACTGTACCAGCTTCTAGGAAGAAAATTAACTCTATCCCAGCTGAAACCAGGACATGCAGCCTTTTGTATTTTTGGGTGGGTTTTTTTAGCAGGAGGATCTTAATAGTGTAGCTGTTCCATGTGGGGGAGCTAAAGAGGTAACAGACTCTTGCGTCCTTTCAGATTTTGAAAGACATCACTAATCGTTTCTACGTGATGAGAGGTTATAAAGTACATTATGTGCCAGGATGGGATTGCCATGGATTGCCAATTGAGTTGAAGGCGTTGTCAGAAGTCAAAGGATCTGAAAATCTTTCACCAATGGAAATTCGACAGAAAGGTAAACTACTCTTTGTCATATCTTTATAGAAGTTGGATTAAGTATTTATACATCCTACTCATACTTTGTATTTTATGCTTTATACGTAGTTTTTATACTTTCCTGAAGGCTTTTCTATAAGCTATTGGTGACATTTTCCATGATTACTATGTATTTGCCAAGCAGACTGACTGCAGCGTAATCTTATGAAACGAGAATTGAACATAGGATTAATTCACTGCTGTAATCAATGTGCATATTGTTGACCAGCGGTTTAAAAAAACCCAAAAGGAAGGCAGAGGTTTTGGATTTCTGCTTTGCTTAATTGTGTAGTGACATGAAACTGATGTTTATCAGATCCTTTTGGTTTTTGAAGACAGAATTTGATTAGGAGCTAAAAAGATGCGTTTAAAAATCAGGTTTCATCAGGACAGGTTGGCTCAGTACTTTAAGTAGGAATGTATTTGTTTACTGTGTTTGTAACAATATTACAGAACTATAAGAGTGTTCCTTTCAGGGGAGGTTAGTTTGCATTATGTGGAAACTGTTCTGAAGAAATAATGTTAAATACCATGTGTATTGAGACATCAACATTCAGCTGCAAAGCTATTTATAATGAGCAATTTAAACTGCTTTAGCTTGTGGCAATGAAATCGGCTTATTTTCAGGTGCGTGTTCTGAAATGTTTGGCTCAGCATCAACAGAAGTAGTTAATTTTCACTCTTTATTTTACATTATTTGAGAAGGCATTTTAAGAAATTGTTCTTCTTAACTAAATATACCTATTCCCCCCCCCCTTAAAAATAAAGTTTTTATTCTGGAAACATTTGTTTTATGTCCCCATATAAATCAAAAAGTGCCACTTCTGGATCTTTTTGCTGTTTGCAGTTTATGTAACTACTCTGAAATGCATATTTTTTTTGAGCCATAATAATCTGTGTAATACACATCAGTAGTTAGTGCATGTTTTAAATATTTTCAGCTGAGGCTTTTCTATAAAAGGTCAGTAGCGTAATTAAGTGGTATTACATTGATAAATGTACCAATTGTACAAAAATGTACCAAATGTATCCACTTACCTTGATGAGGTAAACCATGTGCTTAATGGAACTATTCCTTTCAGCCAGAGAATTTGCAGAGAGAGCAATTGAGAAACAGAAATCTGCCTTCATTCGCTGGGGTGTAATGGCAGATTGGGCTAACTGCTACCGTACATTTGATCCAAAGTATGAAGCAAACCAGCTGAGAATCTTCTATAAAATGTATGATAAGGTATGTTGAGCTTTTGTTGAAGTCTGGTTTGATTTATCATGAGTTTTGATTATCCTAACTTTATTTCTCCCCCCCCTTTCCAGGGATTCATTTATCAGGACTACAAAC